TCTGTGTATGTGTGTGGTGTCTATGTGTGTGTCTATGTGTGTAGTGTATGTGTCTCTGTGTATGTGAGTGTGTGATATCTATTTGTGTGTCTGCGTCTGGTCTGTGTGTGTGTGTGTGTGTGTGTGTGTGTGTGTATGTGGTGTGTGTGTCTGTGTGAACATATGAATGCCATCATGTGTACGGCCCCCAGAGAGCAACCCCCGAGTTGGCCCACACTCATCTTTATCTGATAGGGTCCCCTGCGGTCTACCACCGAGGGCGTCAGGCTAGCTGGCCCCGGAGCTCCCTGGGAGCCTCGTGTCTGGCCTCCATGTTGCTTCAGAAGCTCTGGGAGTTGCACGCTTGCTGCTCCATCTGGCTTTCCCTGGGTCCTGGGGATCTGAACTCAGATCTTCCCATTTGTAGCAGTGCTTGACCCTCTGAGGCACCTCACGCCTCACATTCCTCCCTGAGGACAGGACTGCACACATGGATCGTGGGAGGTGTTCTAGGAAATGACAGACCCCTCACCAACTCTGGTATGGCGGCTGTTGGGCTGCATTTTGCCAGGCTGTGCCAAACTATAACAACCGTTTAAAACAGGGTCAAAGCCAGCAGTGCATGTTGAGGCAGAAGGATCACAAGTGTGAGGCCAGTGAGTGTGAGGCACACACATGCACACAGATGCCTCGCCTTCGGCTGGCCTCTTGGAGATTCTCTTTCTTCAACACTGAGTTGTTTCCCAAAACGTCTCCTCCTCAGAGGAGCAGGCTGTTGAGCACACGTTACTTTGTTGGCCGAGTGGAGACAGGCGAGTGGGAGTGAGGCGAGCCCCTGAGGAGGGTGAGTGCACAGGTGTGAAAAGGCGGTGCTGCGAGGAGGATCACCTGCAGCTGCCTGTTACTCCCTACCTTGGGAGCCGTGCAGGTGCTCCAGCCACAGAGCTGGTGCTGTGTGCACACACGACAGCAGGAAAGAAAACCAGGGCAGAAGGCTTCAGGCCCAGGGAGCTGAGTGGGAGTGGACCTGGCTCAGGTCACTGGGAGGGAATGATGGCCGGGACCAGGACGGACAGCAGCAGGACAGCTGGTGCCGGTGTCATGGCATGGACCTCGTGGCGTGCGGCCCAAGAGGAAAGCCTCTCTCACTTGTCTCACTTGTCTTCACATGCACTTTTTTTTTTTTTTTTTTTAAAGAAGACATAGTAAGCCCGGAAAACCACACTGGGAAATATAAAACGACGTCTTTTTGGTCTGTGGAAAACAATATAAAGTTGGCACACGCAGTCTGTTTTCTGCCAAGGTGGGTGCTTTCGGGAGGGTGGGCTCCATGATAGGACAGACCCACTGGAAAACGGCAGAGCCCTGGCCATCAGCCTGACAGGCATGTGCGAGGCCCTCATCTACCCAGGAATGTCACCGGGAAAGAGTCTGAGCTCTCTAGCCGCCTGCACCCGGGGTGCACCCTCCGTGGGACAGCTGGGCCCTGCACAAGGTCCCACTGACCTCACACTCGGCTTCGGGGCGAGCTCAGTGAGCGGGGCCTCCCAGGATGAGGAGCCTCAGGACCTGAGGGGAGACAGCAGAGAGGTGGGTGGGAGCCCCTTGCTGCCCGACCAGCCTGGGGGGGAGTACCCCGTCTCACAGAACACCAGGCGAGTGGCACTGGGGAATGACGCCCAAGCCTGTCGCCTGGCTTCCACGCGCACTTACACGCAGGGGCACATATGTGCTCACACGCTCACATTTGTTCCAATCCTTTTCTCTCTCCTCTGCCATCAGGGCTGAAGGCTCTGCTCTCTTCCAGGGTCCTCACCCCGACTCGTGTCCTCTCGGTGTTTGTGGGTGAACAACTCTTCAGGTGACCCCAGGACCCCTTTCCGACCGAGGTGGGTCCTGAGGCAGGGAGGTCAGGTCGTCCACCACACAGCCTCCTGCCCGCAGAGGTTACTGGTGTTGCCACCTGCACTGTCAGGTCAGCCTGTGACATGAGGGCACCGTGCCTGTGCACTGATGTCACGGGTCTGTTGGCGAAGCACTCGAGAGGGCCTGGATGAAGACTCACGAGGACAGCAAGGCTCCAAGTTCAGCTTCGTCCAAGCATCATTCCTAGGAGTGGACACCACTCCCGCCCCTGCCCCACGGAGGGCTGAGTGAGCTCCCGGCCCCCACTGGACCGTAACTCTGCCTAACCTCCAAGCCTGCCTGCTGGTAGTCGGCCCAGGCGCCTTCCCCGGTTTCCCAGGGTGATGGAAGCGACGCCCCACAGAAGGTATTTTTAGGGCCCCAGACAAGGAGCGGATTGTCTGGCCAGCTCCAGGGTAATTTGTGGCTCTGTTTTATTTCTGAATCAGTGGAAAAGCTGCTTCAGGCCCCACGGCCTGGGCAGCGGGTGGGGCCGTGTGATTCATGTTCGACTCCAGCTCAGGCCGAGCCTCGCACGCCTGTCTTCCCAGCGTGTTATTCTTACTCCAGCTGAATATCCCCTTACACCTGGAGCCTCCGCCTCCTCCAGACAACTTTCTCAGGCCGAAGCTGAATTAACCGCTACCTCGGCCACAGCTACTCCTGCCCCCAACCCGGGCTGGACGTTTCCCCAGCAAGCGTGATTGTTTAAGAACATGCCTGTATTTATAGCTGAAAATGCTTCTCAGCGAGAGAGCGCCTCGTCTGGGTCCTGAGAATGAGAGGGAAAGTCAAACTCTGTGGAGGG